GTTTAGGGTTTAGGGAGCCCCTAAACTCCCTCGGCCTTCGGCCCTCATTCAACCGAGGCCGTTTCCTGCGGACGCTGCGACTGATCCGCCTGGTGCGGCTGCTGCGTGTGGGAAAGCTGGAGAGGCACCTTTTCTTAGGGGTACTTTGAAATAATTTTTAATCTTTGGCTACTTCAGTATAGATTTTGTTGCAGCAGCAGGGTTTCGAGCGGTTTCTCGAAGTGTACAGGGGGTTTCAAGCGCTTTAAGTGTTTATTATTGCATGGATTTGTGCAGGGCTTTTGCACAGCCTTGACAAGTCTTTTCACGGTGCGTGGTTTGGGCTCTGTGCAGGGATTTGGTAAAGCTGTTCCAGTCGTTTTCGTGCTTGCATGGGAATAATATATTTTATACGTTAACCAGGTCTAACGCGTTGAGCGTACAGGTGAGGGTTGTGGGTGTTGCAAGAGAAAGAGTTGCCCACAGCTGTCCAGATCTCAGAATCGGGATGGACCCTGAGGCAGGTGATGAAAATTGCCAACCGCTTCCTGTCGACCTACTCGCTGATGGCCTTGCGAAGCTGGGTCAAAGGTGTGCTAGGTCTGTCTAGGAGTCTTCCGGATGAATCCTAGTCTTCCTTATCTAGTGCCAAGTGCCCCAAGACCCCGCTGGAAGAGCTCAGCGCTTGCTGACACTGTCTTCTTTGCCTCGGGACAAGATGCTAAGTCAACCCCTCGGTGTTCCAACATCTGCCTGAAAGGCAGCAGTGTCGATTTTGGGCTTCAGGGATCAGGAAATAAAACCCCAACCCCCACCCATGAATTCTGGTCATGCTTCTGCGACGCTTCAGGATTAAGGGCTCGCAAATGTCCTTTAGGTATCAAGCTCGGCGGCGACTAGGAATGAACCGCACTACACCATTCACTATCACTGCCGCTTCCACCATCACTACTTCTCCTGCAAGACGGTAAGCAGCAGCACACACAGCCGTTGTCGTCATCATCACCGTCAGCATATGTAGCCGTAGTTGCCAAAAGCAGAAAAGCAGCAGTGTGGCAAAGCCAATTGTAATGTGCCCTGTCACGGTCATGTCCTTGAGTCAATCTTCAAGGAGTCGCGGGCTACCTTGCGGTCATGCTCGCCATGAACCATCTCATCGCTTGCTGCTGGCAGCCTGTCGAAACTTTTTGCATGGATCTACCCACCTATCTTTCCGGCATACCGTATAAGACGACAGAACATCATGCTGTCGACGTATATACTGTTGTATCAGCGTATCTGTGAAGACACGGCACAGGCAGATCAAAAGTTGACCAAACAATATACACGACCCTCATCTCATAGAATTTCAAGCATAGGAGACGAGCTATGAACGAACATGTAGTATACTGTGCCACCAGGCTGGGATTGCTCAACTTGTTCATTTGGCGCGCGTCTTATTCTGCCTGATACTGTAGAATTTGAACTGCGTTATACTCTATAAGAGATCCTGAAGTGCTAGTGCATGTGCAGGTGGCTATGAATTTGTGTGAGGTGTGCGAAAAGGTTCTTGCATGCTGGATTGCATGCACGACTCTGTGCATAGCAATGCGAGACGTGTATACCAGCGAAAATATCAATGATACACGCCCAGCCTTGAGCCTTAAACTCTAAGAGAAGACCTACAGCATTGGGGGGGGGGTGTAGAAGTGTAGAAGAACATAATAAAGGACTATAAGGGCAGAATTACTCAGTTCTGACTATTCCTGAAACAGCCCTGTATCATTTGGTTGTGTTAAGCCCACAACTCCATTGTACTTATTCAGGCTTCTTTATAAAACTTAGGTAGTATTATTAGGGGTACCCCTTAAAGGCTACCCCTTCTGAACCCTCGGCTCTCTTAAAAGGGACCTTATTGAGAGGGTCTATATCCCCAAGGGTCCCCCCAATCCTAGCTCCCAAAAATCTGGGATATGCGAAACGACAGAGTCCTTCGCACTTAAAGACTCCCAGTAAGTCACAAGAGCCACAGAGTTGGGTTTTGGGGTATATTCTGCTATAACTATCACAAGGAACCCCCAAAATAGTATTGGCAATTATTAAAGCCCCTATATGGGAGTTTCCGAAATTAGGGGTATCGTATTTTGGGGTCCTTATAATAAGGATCTTACTATTTAGGGTACTATATTAGGGTCCCCTATTTTCTGAAACCTCTATATTACTTGAAACGCTCCAGGTATGGAGTCGGCGCCTGGACGCAGCACTTGGGGAACTGGCTGGAGAGGTCGGCGATAGATCCGGAGCCCTGGCAGAGGTGAAGCTTGATACAGGGGAACCATAGTATGGGGGGTTTCCGAAAATAGGGGACCCTAATATAGTTCCCTAAATAGTAGGATCCTTATTACAAGGACCCCAAAATAAGGTACCCTAATTTTCGGAAACCCCCATATAGGGGCCTGAATAATTGCCTATACTATTTTGGGGCTTCTTTATGATGCTTGCAGGAAAATGTACCCCCAAACCCTACTCTAATTATCAAGACCCCTATGTTAAATAGATTTTGTCACGAGCTATGCAGACCCCATAGAGAGCTCTCCAGGTTTTTCCTGCGGCCAAATCATAAAGCCAGTAGTTCAGCATTATCCGAAACCGCATTCTTTGAGCTCTCGATGGTGCAGCCTTATTGTGAATTTCTCCCCTCCCACATGGGCTTTGGGTAGTATGTAGAAAGGAGCTTGGGATCAGAGCCCTAGAAAGCTACCCAGCCCGGCACCTCTACTCAATCCAGAAAACTTCCTGTCCCGTAGGCCCCAAATATGAAACCCCTCTTCTACCTAGACCCTGAGCCTCTTATTTGGAGTTCTTGTTGTGATTAATGGTTTTCTATTCTTGTTAAGGATACTGGGCTCTCAGGGGAGGGAGCTTGGGCCTAGATCCGTTGGGAGCAATATATTTTTTACCTATACTATCTTAGGGGGTTCCTTATGATAGATATACTCTAGTGGGCCCCAAAACCCTATTCTAGTTATTAAGGCGCCTACATTAAAATGCCGTTTCGGGACTTAGGTTTGGGGGTTAGGGAGTTTCTAGCAGTTACGACTCGAGTCATGAGGATTTGGTGATGGTGACGGCTGGAGGCTTCGCCCAATCCTAACAGTTAGCGTTCTACATAGCACATAGAGCGAAGATATTCCTACTTATCAAGGCATCTGCATGAAAGTTGTGGGTGTTTGAACCTTCTTCTGTTCTTGTCGCTCCCCCACGAGCATCCCGTGACCTAGATCCCTTATCTCTATTACAGACTCGGCGGGATTACTAATCATGTCCCCTTCTAGGCTCGATATGGCTACAGTACAGCATACTCCCTTAAATTTACTCATCATGGCTTCAACATTATCACTGCAACAACAACTAAGCATCCCTTGTAAAAGCTGTCTGGCTGGTGAGCCCCACCATACATAGACTCCTAACCCTAAGCCCTAAACCCTAAACCCCTAACCCCCTAAACCCTGAACCCTAAACCGTAAACCCTAAAACCTCAACATTGCCCTACAACCCTTAAACTCTGCAGCCCTCAACCCCTAAAGCTTTGCATCTCTGCGCAGCTTCTTCGCGAAGGATACCCAGGAAAACCGCTAGCGTCGAAGCTTAGCTTCGAACTCAAGGAGGTGTAACATGTATGTGGGTAGTTCTCTAAATTAGGGTCCCTTTTTAAGATCTCCAATATAGTACGGCACCCTTATAGAAAGAACCCTGAAAGGGCACCCGAATTTAGAAAACTATCCATACAAGGAATGTCTTTCAGCAATTGCGATGCGAAGCATTGACGCTTCTAAGATCCGAAGCCCTAGACCCAAAACGCTCACTACCGAACTCTAAGCCCCAAGCCCTGCACCCGTCTGAAGCCGGCAAGACTCCGACAAAAGAAATGTTTAGGGCTTCGGGTTTAGGGTGTAGAATACAACTTTAACAAACGCCCTACACCCTAAGCCCTAAGCCCTAAACCCTGAACCTACAAAAGGCCCACAGAGCCCCAAAAAACCCTCCAAAAAATTTACAACAGGCCCCTAGAACCCTAAAAAAAAGCCTTCCCAAAAAACCCTAGGACTCCGTGTAATGCCCTACAAAAGGCCCACAGAACCACAGAACCCCCCAAAAAAAAACTTCCAAAAAAAACCCTAGGACTCCGTGTCTGCAGCCTACGTCGCATCGCTCCACTGGTCTCTGACCCAGCCCCTCGGTGCCGGTGAGCTGCCGAATATACGGGGCCTAAATAGGGGTGTCGGAAAATGAGGGGTGCCTCATTTTGGGGTCCTTATACTAGGGATCCTACTATTTAGGGTACTATATTAGGGTCTAGGGTTTAGGGCCTAGATAACTAACTATGTTTTTTTTTGGGGGGGATGGGGGGGGGGTCCTCATGAGAATTAAAGTGTAACATGCCTAATATAGGGGCCTAAATAATTACCTTTATTATCTTGCTGGTTCCTTATAATTATGGGAGTAATATAGGGGCCTAAATAATTACCTATATCATGTTTGGGGTTCCTTATGATTTATACAGTATAATATACCCCAAAATCCTATTCTAACTATTAAGGTCGCTACAGAAAGCAGCATACTGCGACCCTGAGGTTCACTCCGTCGACGAATCCGATCGCGCCGGGAAATGCCTGGGAAAGGCCTCGTCGGTTTGGCTTTCGGGTTCTTCGAGTCGAGGTCTTCTGCACCCCTGAACTCAAGGCTTGGTAACGGTCGTAGTGTATTATTTCTTCCGCAACAGACCCCCGCACCATGAATTGTTGGCAGAACTTTGATACCAGTTATTGAAGCTGACATTGTAGCTCAGCCCTACAGTGAGAAGTGAACAGCGAAATTGGGTGGAGTTGCGATTTACGTTTATGATATTCGACATGCCCGAAACTTCGAGATGTATTTCTAAATAAGTCTTGTCTCGCGTGCCTATGTGTATGCTTATATCTGCCCATGTATGTATATATATATATATATATAGATATAGATATAGATATACACGTATATGTGAAGACGCATATACATGTACATGTTGGGACTTTGCGGTTGCTTGCGTCTGCATGTTTACGTATGCGCATGTGCCCGCGTGTGCGTGTCGTGGTTTGGTCTTTTGATCGTGTTTGAGAATGTCGTTGTTCGGTATTTGTCCGCGTCCCTGCATGCAAAACATGTGTTCACGTGTTTGTGTGTGTGGGTGTGTTTTGCTGCATGGTTTCTTGTTTGTCAAGTTTGTATGCTTAATGGTTCCATACGTCTGCGCAACCAGAAGCGAAACATGGTGTCTCTCAGACCCCCGACACAAAGTAAAATCAATCTCCGCGCAAGCTGAGTCTGAACAATCGAACATCCAAACCGAGATGTAGGTTCTATGCCATTTGGGTGATCTTGCTCGCCATGGCGTGCCCTGGATCGATGTGCACAGTTCTCCTAACCGACACTCAAACTACAGCATTACACCGTAAGAATTTGCGGTTCAGTACAAGAGCCTCTCTGAAAATAAATAGGCCTTAGTATACTTTATGCGCAGCCCGGAATCTGATGGAAAAGGCCAGTCTTGGTTGATCTTCGAAAAGCTTCAGGCTCGAAGAGTTCAGGGTCAAGGAAAGTGAGGGGTGTCGAGTTTCAGAGGATGCCTTGCTGCGAAAGCTGTTCGCTCTGACAGGTCGAAGGGCGAATTCCGGGAAGACCGAAAGTCGTGGTACTAGTAGTACTGCCACGACCACCACGCACAACCAGCACTAGAGATCCTTTTCCTGCTGCCTTCGACGTGGGGGGGTGGCTGCGAAAAACGGGCGTTGCATCCGAGCGAGCACCCCTTGAGGAAGGGGGAGCTGTGGGCGGTCGGTCTGTTTTCTGGTGGGGGCGGATGTACTCCTTGGAATGGAGAAGAGATGGAGCCGAAGAAAATTCGAGTCGTCGAGAAGACCGAATGTGCGGGGACGCAGGGAGGCTGTCTGTGCGATGAGCCGGGTGAGAGGCCACATGTCAGGCCGGGTGCGCAGGGTCTGGCACGCAAAGCCAGGGCTTCCCGGCCTCAGAGGGTTGGCGGAGAGTCTCAGTAGCAAAAAAACCCCCCAAAAGGCTACTCTAGTTCTGAAGCCCTCTCATATGGGGGTTTCCAAAAATAGGGGACCCTAATATAGCACCCTAAATAGTAGTATCCTTATTATAAGGACCCCAAATAACGTACCCCTAATTTCGGAAACTTTCATATTAGGTGCACCCTAAACCCTAAACCCCAAACCCCTAAACCCAAAACCCTAAACCCTTATGAAGAAGCCCTCTCATATTAGGTGCTTCTCGTCCTTCATCGGCTCGATCGGCACCACTTTAACCTCGATGCGCTCGGTACGAAGGGAGCAGCTGCTGCAAGAGACCAAGCTTGAGGTGTGCCTCAGTCGCGATCCTGCAACATATAGGGGCCTTAATGAACTATGGGTTTTTGGGTATCCCGCGACATATAGGGGCCTTAATGAACTATGGATTTTTGGGTTTAGATTGTATTGTCCTTGTAGGAAGGAAACTCTAAGGAACGGGATTGCTCATGACTCAGGCCTCTTGAACCCAAACTTTGCCGGTGTTTTTGTTCTGAGATTTGGTCAGGGTGCCGTAGAGTTTAGAGCTGACGTCAGGGCTATCATGATTTATTGATAGAATATGTTTGGCTATGGGAGTGCTATGATTAGTTTGGCAGTACTGCGGTCTCTTTCGTATTGAGTGCTGGTGTCGTATGCTTTGTCTTAGTTACACACACAAATCGCATGGCAGGCTGCATGTTGCGCACATCGATCTTCGATGCTGAAGAACTCGGGACTTTCTTGGTCAGTCTTAAGCCCAAAACCACAAAAACAACCTAACACCGAACAGCTAGAACCGTAAATGCCACATGTTCGCCATGTCCTCCGAGGTTTTTCACCGAACGCAACCTCTCGCTAGACCTCTTCGAGAGAGCCAGTTGGCGGATTTAGGCTTACGCTCAGTTGTCTATGCCCTTGACTATCACCGCCAGTATTATTGTTGTTGTCATTATTGGTATTGCTCTTCTTTTTATGATTAGTATTAGTAGAAATCTTCTTGCTACTATGTGCACTGGTATCTGAGCATTATTTGTGTTATGACCAGCATTATTCCGATTGGTATCATTGTCATGGTTGTTCTTTTTATTTTCATGGTCATGAACCTTATCCTTTAGAAGCTCATTGTACAGTTATTGTGATTGTTGCTATTCCTCCTATTGTTGTTGTCCAGGATGTTCAGAGGAATGGTCTGTCATGACAGTTCACCATGGCCAGAAATGCACACAACAGTGCCAGATTGGGATCCAAGACCATGAAGCCTGAATGCCCAGCCCTGCTACGTTGTGGCTTCTTGTCCAGTGCTGCGGAATAGTCCAAGCCTTGTACCACTGCCTCGCGTGCACCTGGCAAAGCCAAAAAGATGCAGCCCCGAAGATCCCATCAAAACCTCAATCATGAGTGTGTTGTAGGGTTTAGAGTCTCAAGGCCTTGCAAGACCACTAATCTTACAACCATGACAGCAATTAAAAACCCTAAACCCCTAAACCCCTTAACCCTAAACCCCTAAACCCCTAAACCCCTCAACCCCTAAACCCTAGACCCTAAACCCCCAAGTCTTGTCGGCATCTGCTCGAAACCCGAAGTCCAGACCTGGGAGGCCTGCAGCAAGAACCCGAAGATGAAGACCCCAAAGCCAAAGTAAGGGTTCAGGGGTTTAGGGTTTCGGGTTCAGGGTTTAGGGTTCAGGGTTTAGGGTTTAGGGTCGTGACATAGGGGCCCGATTAAACAGTAAATAGTACAGTAGTAGGAATCTGCCCTGAAGAGTCCCTGTAGGTGTGTGTGTGTGTATATATATATATACATACACGCAGACATTACATACTTTATTATACCCCTCAACCCTTCTCGCAGTGTTACGGCCCTTTGTTGCAGCGCAAGATCGGAATTTCGGGTTTCAGGGTGCGGGGCCTCGATCCTCCAACTCAGACATTACTTAAAGGATCATGGGACTTAGTAAGTAGGGTTACAATTAAGGTAACTATACTTATATTTAATTACTCATAACGCCAATTAAGGGACTTATAACTTTACTTACTAAGTCCCATGATCCTCCACCTCAGACATTACCGTTCAAGAGAGGTGGGGCGACCAGAACTTGGAGGATCATGGGACTTAGTAAGTAAGGTTATAGGTCCCTTAATTGGGGTTATAAGTACATATAAGTATAGTTACCTTAATTATAACCCTACTTACTAAGTCCCATGATCCTTTGAGCAGGGTTGGTGGGGTTTAGGGCTGACGGGTTAAAGTGTATTTGAGGTTGTAGGGTCTAATGTTAGCAACCTTCAACTTGTTTCCTAGTCTTTGCAGTAAACTCGCAAGGGCTTCCTTAGACAAGGGGAGTGACAACTGTAATGCTGACCGCAGACGAGAAAAAGTGATAAAAGCACTCACCATAGTCCATCCCGATTGTGGTAGCACATGACATGCTTGTTTTCATACGGTACGTATCATACAGAGTATATAACAAATCATATTGTACATAGAAAATGACCGACATGAACCTCCTGAACAAGATACTGGAAGTGGACGACTCAGGTGAAGGGAGCACTCCAGCAGGATTGCTTGCGAGTCTCTTGTGGGGAGTCCCTGCTATATTTGAGAGGGTTTTTCCCAAAAATTAAGGGAGTCGGAGTCAGCAGCAGCCGTGTACGGATTTTGTTCTGAAACTCTTGTCCACCGCATCTGAAGCAAGCGGCCAGCTTAGTGTTGTCATCGGCATTTCATGCATGTTTAAGACCTTCATTGCATCACGGGCTCCTTGAAGCCTTGGCTCGGGCTAGCATATTGCAGTGCTGGTGTTGGGTTCGAAGGTGAAGTTACACCATACAGGGGGTTGCCGACTCGTTGGCAAAACAGGGGTCGTCGAAGGCCTGAGACCATACTCGCAGCTACACCGCAGTCTTTGGATCCATACGGGTTGGAGACCACCTGGCAAAGCTCAAACATCGAGAATAGACGGCTCGGTGTCTCCATGTCCCTGAAAGGAACCCTTAAAGGAACCCTATAGATCCCTTGAAAGGAACCCTTAAAGGAACCCTGTAGATCCCTTAAAGGGAGCCCTTAAAGGAACCCTATAGATCCTTTAGAAGGACGCCTTAAAGGAACCCTCCCCCCGGTGTCTCCATGTCCGCAGGACAAGATGGCCAGAACACGCCTGCATGAGCAAGAGGCGAGGCGCTGAGTTGCAGAACTGTTGACATCTTTTATCCCCCTCCGACATTGTAGTGTTTGGGAGTTAGGACTAGGGGGACCCTTGGGGATATAGACCCTCTCAATAAGGTCCCTTTTAAGAGAGCCAAAAGTGGCTGCGGAACTGTTGACATCTTCTGTCTAAGGTTGAACCCATGGGCCCCTAACATGGGCCCTTAGGGGATCCTAGGGTCCCTTAAGGATATATATAT